ATGCATTATTTGAAATGGAATTTATCCAAAACATACTTCAATTTCCACACTTTTAACAGCTAGTTGCAGTAAAGGCTCCCTAACATCTCAAAACTCTTTAATAAACATAAAGGAGAATTAGGCACTTTCACACCGGAGTACTTTTCCCTTTTAGTTCCGATAGTTCCTGGGATTTTGCGTTCACACAAAAAAGAGAACTTAGTTCATGAGAACTTTTACCCCATTTTTAGTCCCTGCTAGAGAGGTGGGACTATCCTGGGGGGAAAAAAGTACCAATTTCTGATTGGCTGGGCGAATTGCAAACCACGCCCCGTAAAACTCGGAAAAGTTTTGTGAAGCCGCCATTTTATTTGCTGGCATTAGCATTATTAGCATTAGCCCCGCGCACCAACAGAGAGAGACTAACTTATGGCAACACAAAATAAAACATGGGAGCGGTGGAGATGAGGAGGTGTCGGCGTTCTGGCGATTTACTCGGAAGGCTTCAGTAGAAGCTGCTGGGAGTCCCAGCAGCTTCTACTGAAGCCAGTCCCCAACTCCGGGGACTTCCGGCCGGGGACTCCGGGTGGCAGTATACACCGTGAAGTTGTTTGCGGCCTGCCAGTAAACCCAAAGCAGAAGAAGACGAAGTGACGTCAGCGGCTTCATTTGCGTAATCTTCCCTCAGGGACTTATTCCGGTGTGAACGCGATCAGCACTTAGTTCCATGGGGGAACTAAGTGCTGGGAACTAAGTGCTGGGAACTAAGTGCTGGGCACTAAGTGTGGCAAAGTACTAGCGGCTATTGATCCACTTGTGTTGGTCGTGTGATGCATCTAGAAGTGGAAAGAAGTCCTTTCTGTGACAAGGAAACACCTGTAACGGAGCGTCCACACAGCAGCGTTCTAACGCTTCTGCCCATTCACTTTGAATGGGGTGACGTCACTTTGCCTCACTTTTCGCCGAACTGCATTGTGGGCAGCAGAGCGGAGATTTTCAGGATTTTCAGGATTCAAAGTTGAGCAATGTTCAACTTTTGAGGCTGAGGTGGAAGCGTCAGCCAATCAAATCCCGTTAATGCAAATCTGACAGTTTAAGCGCTAGCCAATCAAACCGCGTGTATGCTGGGAGAGACATACCGCAGGTCATTTCCTCATATTCCAAAACATGGAGGAGAAATTAGCGGCAGGGAATCACCCGGTGCTTTATGACCAGTCCCTATTTACCTACCGGGATATAAACCGGAGGAGCCAGGCATGGAGGGAGGTGGCAGAGACAGTGGTAGGTTTTCGCCTGTTTGGGGAGTTTATATCCAGTTTACTTCGGGCTTTTTTGCTTCGTATGTCGGGGGCGGGAGATTCATGTGATTGGTTGTTGGTCGCAAAAAATCCCCAAGCTTCAGATACGCCCACCTCCAAGATTTTTTTAACGCTGCTGTGTGGACGCTCCGTAACTCCTTCGTTTTACTTGTTATACCACACTTCTATTATACGAACACTAAATCTGTCAATATTTCTTTCATTTCAGGCATCTTTTATCCACTGCTTCCCCCTCTGGAGAAACTGACGTACGATCTCAATCATAACTCGGACACTTGCTGTGAAAGCGTTGCTTGTTTTCCTTCAGAGACTCGTTGGCTCCGACTGTTTGACGAGTGATATTTATTGTATGTTCCTGAACAACCAATCACAGTCTCTCTTGTTTTTCTCTCTATGACATTTAGTCTAACTGTGTCTGTTGCTTAAAGGCAGGCTTCTGAGGTGTTTTTACCATCACTTTTCTGTTGTTCTTGCAGGGAATGAATGTCTTTTAGGTAAAAATGTGCCTCTTTTTAAGTTGATTTCCAGTCATGCTGATAGTAAATATAGTCCAGTGCATGCTGTGTGAATCAAACAAAAATATATAAGCCATGATGACTATCAATTTGAAAAGTGACAGTGTTTATATCTTGCAGAAACACGTGCTGTTTTCCGTTTGTTTCCCCAGGAATGATGTTATTTTATTAAAGCAGCTCTGAATAAGATCACTGTGGTATCTGATGAGATTCTTCCTCCATGCTCTGTTTACCGGATTAATGATAAACAGCAAATCATCCATAACTTAGTTAGAGGTTAAAGGTCGTTGCTGCAGCAGGACCTGGGAATGTATTCTGTTAATGAATACAGACTCCAAACCACACAGAGTGTCTCAAATATCTGTCTGCAGCACAGAGGAGGCAACCTGTGTGTTTCCTTTATTACCAACGACAGGCTGATATTTAAATGTAATAGTATAAAACTTACGAGGGAGATATCTGAGGTTTTCTATGCATGCTATGATTTAATGAGAGAGGTTTTCAACAGGGAGGATGATGAGACAATGAGGGGGAGAGAGGAGAAAGAAAAGGTGGAAAGAAGGGAAGTCAAGGGAGGTCTAAAAGTGCAAAGACGAGGGTAGAAGAATTGGAAAATAATATGTCATCTGGTGGATTACATACTGGCAACAACTTCCTCAAATCTGTGTTGTTTGGACACTAAAATACATCAAGAAGGAAAGAGAAGGCATGTACTGGGAAGCAGAAATGTCACATTGCTCCATCGAGGAAAACAAAGCTTAGAAGATATTACATTTAGCTGAGTAGATATCAGAGATATTTTCATGCTGGAAAGAAAATGATTATCTTATGGCGCGTTTCCACTACAGCGCGGAGCACGGTTTAAGAGGGCTGTGACGTCAGCGGCCCGTCTTTGGTTGCGTTTCCACTTGGCCTAGTACCGGCCGGCGGGTCCTAATTCACAGTTTTTCTGGCCTCATAAAATCGTGGGTCCAGGGCCAGAGACAACGAGGCTGAGTCAGGCTGAGTATGCTAAACTAGAGAGAGCATCGCTGGCAAGGGGGCTACAACTACAACAAGATGGACATATTTGACCGTGATTTAATTGTAATGCACGTTTTAAAATGATGCCGAAGTAACAACATACTGATACCGGTTAGTAAAAACCATGAATTAATGCTTTGACAAGTCTGCAGACAGACGGCAGGCGAAACACCTTTTAAAATGCGTGTTTTCTGAATGGAGATCGGCTAAGCTAACGCAGTATATGCTCCGACAGTCCACACTCACAACAACGGCCTATACAGACATAAATAAAGCAGCGACTGTATTCACCATGACACAGACAGTCTGTGGTTTGTACTTGTTTAACTTTTGTCTAGTTTCTGAACATATATGAGGAGCTGTGAGCTCTGAGTGCTAACAGCTAACGGCTGTGTTGTTTTTCTGGGGTTCTCATTGAAGATGACGTCACGGCTCCGCCTACACTGCGTTACTATAGATACTACCCCAGTTCCTAAACTGTAATGGAAATGCGCCATAAAGTGAGCCAGTCCTAACGAGGCTTAGCCATACCGAGCGGGGCCGAGCGAGGCCGTGTAGTGGAAACGCGCCATAAGAGAGGTTTTCAACAGGGAGGATGATGAGACAATGAGAGGGAGAGAGGAGCAAGAAAGGTGGAGAGTAGAGGGGGGTCTAATAGTGTGCAAAGAAGAGAGTTTCCAATTAAATTATGAATAATATATTATGAGCAGAAGAGCTTGCATACGCTGGATTACATATTGGAAACATACTGGTGTTGTTTTGGACACTCAAGTACACTAAGAAGGAAGGAGAGAGCAGAAAGGTCACATTGTTGGGACTTAAAAGATCAGAAGAAATGAAAATGTTTTTCTCAGAAATGTGAGTGGGGTGAAGGGTCCATGCATGAGTTTCATTTAAAGCCTAAACTGCCCGGAGACTCGTCCTGCAGCGTTTCACTGCACATGGGACAGAAATAGAATAACAGGTCCGATTCCTTTGAGAGAAAACTAAATGTAGTTCGAAGTGTAAAGAGGTTATATAATGCTGAGGCCTGAGATGAGGGTCTTCTCCTGGACTTAGTTTCCCCTCTTGATCACAGTCACATGACCATCCACTTTCTCTGACATATACGTCATCACAAACCCATTTCTTTATTTATCTATTACGAGGTTTGTACGAAAAAAAAGATATCATTCTTATTCTTTGATTTAGCTTTGAATATTAGTGCATTCAAAGTACAGTAATAATAATGGATAAGAAGGTTTTTTATTGACATTTGAACCCAAGTGCAATATCATACGTCTAGATTGGACTTTAATTCATTATTTGTGAAACTGTTACGTTTAGAGAGCGCATCTTCTTCAGTTTGAGTCGAATAGAAGACGAAGATGACGAAAAATAAGAACAAGAAGACGAATAATGACATGCTTGTGACACGTGGAATAAAAGTCGTGTCTGTTTCCCGTGTATAACAACGTGTAGGCATTGTCTAGCTGATGGACCATATATCTGTAATTACACCGTTTTAGCAGGCCGTGTCGTGCACATGTGACAGAACAGCATGCTTTGTCTAGTGTGTTGATGGCACAACACATATATTAAAGGTCCCCTCTTATACTGTTTTTCATCAATATATTATACGTCTCAGATATATACAAACATGTCTCTGAAGTGTTTTGCTCGAATCACCAAACAGATCATTGCAGCATCCCATAATCCCCTCTGTTTCAGCCCTGTTTCAAAAGTGCTGTGTTCTCTGCTTTTAACCCATCCTAGTACCAGGAGTCTAGTAGTAAGAGCAGTGGGCAGCTATTGTACAGCGCCCGGGGAGCAATGGGAGTGGGGGGGGGTGTCCGGTGCCTTGCTCAAGGGCACCATGGCAGGGCAGGAGGTGAACTGGGACCTCTACAAGTAGCAGTCCACACTCCATATTTAGGTTTGGTGGGGGACTTGAACCGGCGACCCTGACTGAGCCACTGCCGGATATAAATGGATCAGGACAAAAAGTGAGAGAATCTTTTTTCCTGAAACTTTCAGAATCTCTTTACTTAGAGGGGACACATGTTTATGTTTAAAAGACATGAAAAAGTGGATTTTGCATAATAGGTGACCTTTAAGAGACACCTTTACTGTGACCTATGTGACAGTAAAGGGACTTTGAAGAGGGTATGGAGGCCTCGTTCACCTGCATGATGAACTCCCGGCGGCGCGGCATCCCTCTCTCGGACAGCAGCAGATACTCCGGCTCCTTCTCCTTCTTGGCCTGCTGGATCTGAGCCAGGCGGCTGATGGGGTTCATGCCCTGCCCGTAATCTGGACCCGTCTGTGGGGAAGAGGAGACGCAGGGTGATCAATCCACATCCGCCACTTCACTTAGTGCAGGGGTGTCCAAACTCTTTTCACCGAGGGCCACGTACAGAACAATATACGAAGGGCTGGGCCACTCACTAGAGGTATATCGCCTCGTAAGTTCAGTTATAAATCAAATCAAATGTAGGTCAATGATGCTTGTGAGTATTGGCAGCTCATCCCTTAAAACAGAAGCCTCAGATTGATTATAATAAGGAGTAATAGGATTGTATTTCAAGCTTGTTATGTAAATAAGTCATTGGGCTTTTTTTCTTATCAACTAAGATTTGTTAGAAAATGTTTCCAACTTCAATTGACTGAATTTATTTGAAAAGCGGTCTTATTAACACATGAATACTGTGTAATATATTTGTACATATATAGTTAAGAAGTACAATATAAGACAAGCACAAGTTTCTTTAGTGGGCCATATTCCATTATACTTTTAGAATTTGCTGTGGGCCGATTCAAAATGTCCCGCGGGCCAAATGTAGTTTGGACACCCCTGACTTATTGTGTTATCACCGTGGTGTGATCTACAGTATGTGTATATTCTGTATGTGAGGGAACAGAAGTGAGGTCATACTCATCTGCAACGGATAGATGCAGAGATACAGAGACATGTAGAATAACACAGGAAATTAGTGGGGGGAAGAAATCTCACAATATCATATTTTATACATTATTAAAGTGCTAAGAGGCAAAAATACGGTACGTTTTTGTGTGTGCGAGTGGACGATTTTACCTATTTTATTAAACAGTATGTACACACCAAAGCTAACTCAAACATAACGGTATATGGAACGCAGGTATCCACGGTTTTCTGATTTTGCTGTGATTAAAACATTCACAATGAATTTTGACGGGGCAATAGCAACATTTCCAAGTGACCCTACCTTTGCAAAAAATAACCCTAATATCCTGAGAGCATCAGTAAATAGATAGATGTGGAGTTCCCTGCAGTACCTTGAGGATGGTCTTGGTGCGTTTCTTGTAGTGCGTCTTGGGTTTCTCCACGATGGGGATGAAGGGCAGCTTCTTCAGGTCCTGCAGGATGGAAAGAGCGGCACGTTTCTTTGAGAGCTTCTTGCTGTTTCCCTCTCCTTCCGCGGAAAACTCCCCAACGCTGACACGGGTCAGAAAGCTCTTCATGTGCGGGGGGCCGCTCTCCTTCAACACCTGGGGACGGAGAAATGATTTGTCAATTTATTGAAATTGTTAGAAATAAAACAAACACTAAGAATAATAATAATTATAACAAAGAAGCAAAATAAACGTTCAAGGTATAAAAATAGTTTCTGTCATGTTCAAAAGGGGCAAGAAGAAGCTTAACACTGTTCTGGTGCCTCTAACGTACATTGTTCATGAAAATCAAAGTTGAAGTCATCGTCATCCGTGATATTTGATTCATTGTTTTAAACAAATCACTTTTCTTTTACAACGACAATACATAGCAAGCATCACTTCACAGGTCGGGCTCATCACTTTCAGGATTTGGTTTCTAAATAATAGTTTTAGTTTAGATAAAGTTGCAGAGAGTTCTACATCGGTTTGTCCTTTAGAGTGGTGCAGTGATGTCGTTTCTATTCCTTATGTCAGGGTAACAACCAAAAACACACTGAACTCCAGACCAGGGAACAGGAAGTGCTCAAATGCTGACTCAATTCCCTTGTTTTAGGACTCATTCCTGCACCCCTCTCCACTGGGATGTTTTTTCTGTTTAACAGATTTAGGACGAAGAACAAAAGACAGAAACAACTGGATGTTTTAGTCATGATATGTGTGAGGGAGTGTGTGCAGCGCGCTCTGCAAGCAGCTACACCAGGTGGTCCGAAACATCTGTTCTCGATGGTCACAGTGCTACCCACCCATATGCACACACACACACACACACACACACTGAGGAAGAAACACACACATGAAGAGGAACACACTCCTAGATGTCAGTCTCTAGTGATGAGGGCTCAGTTTCCTTCCTCCAGCCTCCGGTCACCTGGGAGACCTAAAACAAACACCGGCTGGCGTTAGGTCATGCTTCTGCAATCACATCTACTTCCTGTGAAGTCCGAGAGGGTGTGTGTGTGTGTGTGTGTGTGTGTGTGTGTGTGTGTGTGTGTGTGTGTGTGTGTGTGTGTAGCAGGTGGGGTTCTCCCAACCTTATTTAGAGAAAAACACACTGCGGGAAGAATTACATTTCACACACTTAGCGAGTCAAACTGAACATGTTCTGCTAATGTTTGCACGCTTTCTCCGACTCACAGCTCGCAGACTTTCTCCCTCTCGTAGCTGAGTGTGTCTTCAGACTTTCTCCCCCTCTAACTCCCCCCCTCTCTCTCTCTCTCCTGCTCTCCTTTATTCGAGCTCAATTTGTGGTGCAGACAGCACAAATTGAAGCAATCAGGTGCAATCTAGCAACAGTTCATTTGAAACCACCGACCGATAAAACCAGATTAAACTGATAAGCAGAACGTGGAGCATTCCTCAGATACTCCACACATCAACACACACTAATAGCAGAGCTTCAGGAGGACAAAGGAGTGTGTGTGTGTGCACTCATCTACTACACAAACACAACCACACAACATCTCCTTTTGTTTGAATTAACAATGAGAGTCTGGTGCATGGAAACCGAACTACAGCTGCAAGGAAAGGTCCGTGACGCGATGAACAGGAAATGTAATGACGATAGTTGAAAAAAACGATTAATTGTCAGTCATTTTACAACTGAAATGTCAGAAAATGCAGTTTTCAGCTTCACAAATAGGGACAGTTGCTGCTTTTCTTTGATTTATTTCATATTAAAGTGAATTTGTTTGAATGTTGGACACTTTAAAGACATCACCTTGGACTTCGAAAGACTGGGATGGTTTTCCTTTTGCCTGGTTCTTTCATAGACAACAGCAAATGGATTATTTTGAAACAACTTCCAGTCCAATTCATCCCCCTAAACTAAAGCAGAGAGAGTCCAATTCATGAGGACAGGTTGAGAAACTATGATCATAACATAGATAAAAACAGGTGAGGTTCATCATGGAGAAGATGAAGTAATTGACTTCCTGTGAAATTAACTTTAATAAATACAGGTCAAAAAGGAGGTTATATTTTGGGTCCTGATCCTAACTGTACCTGCTCAGTCTGTCAGTCTACCTGTTCTCCTGTCAGCTTCACAGAGTTGAACCTGACAGTAAAGAGGTGTGTTGAAAACTACACTAACAGACACCTCTGCTCTGATCTTGCTCATCACCAGAAAAAGGAAAAGTAACACGGCAGCTTCTGGCACGTTTCAACATCCACTACAGCTGGTTACATCCCGTTTCTGATCTATTGTCGACACCGCTCGTCACTGATCAGCTGTCAGCTATTACTACTTTGAGCTATTAACAGAATGTAAATGTAATTGTTGTTGGTGATGAAACAGCATGACTGATGAGAAGGACAGGAAGCAGAATCAGCTGTGCTTCATTTGAAGGTCTCCTATCATGCTAATTTTAGGCATATATTATGGGTCTCAGATATATAAAAAAATGTCTATGATGTGTTTTGCTCAAAATACCAAACAGATCATGCATTTTAGACATCCCTCATATCCCTCTATTCCAGTTTTCTGAAACTTTGTGAGTTCCCTGACACACTGGGGACACACGTATGTATAAAAGACATCAAAAAGTGCTTTTGCATGATAGGTCCCCTTTAAGGAATCAGCTTTATAACAAGGAACTAATTTATTTTTCTACTTATTCACTCATTCAATATTTCTCTCTGTCCGTGACAGGCTCCTCTAATGCTTTATCAATATGGATTAAAGCACACTGCAAACGGCATATCGTTTAAATGTGAGAGAACAGGAGGGTGAGATTAGGTAAGGCCAGTAGAGAAGACCAGTGACAGTAAAGAAAGGTATTTCTGTCCAAAGTTAAAATATTTGAACAGATTTCCCATCAAGATTTTACGTAGCTTCCTCTTAAAAGTTAAAGTGAACTGCTGCAATCAAGAAACTGTTATATATATATTACATTTGTTGTTCAAATATGACGATTGTTTTTGCTTTTAGGAGCCTCTGTTGCATGTCTGTGATTGTGAGTATGGCAAAGAGCGAAGACTCCAGAAATGAACCCTTCCCCACTTAGAAATAACCCAATTTAAAACATTGATTTGGCAATTTAGAGTTTTAAGTTGTCTTGCTTATCCAAGGCACTCTGGGACCGACGAGGGTTGCACTGATGAGTCTCACTTCTAAAAGATGAAATAGCAACAGGAAGTAAAGAGAATCAGATGTGGCCTTCACACACACATCCAACAAAGACCAAGAGACAGAGTGTGTATCTGCCCACACACACACACACACTCTTGGCCCGGGATGGCGGCAGACGAGCGGCAGTCAGTCTCCTGGCAGATGACACGGGATCTGCGCCACACCGATGGGATTTCAGCACTTCCACACACACACACACACGCATGCAAACAAACACACAAACACACCCGTCTCCCGCCTCATCACCAGGATCAGGTTGTGCACAGGAAACACTGTTTTTTCTTGTCGCTTCATCTCTTCTGTTGCCTTTTCATGCCGACATTAATACCCCGGCAGACCTCAGGTACTCTGAAGAGGAGGCATGGGAGCAGAGGAGGACAATGGAGGGGATCGAGAGAGGGAAGAAAGGCTTTTTTGTGGACGGACAAGCCCTGAGGGAACTTCTCCTTGTAAGACAGGAGGGTTTTTGGCGCTCTTCTCTTGTGTCCCGGTTGGAAAGCGAGCCTCCGATCCAACACACAAGCTGTGATTTATAGATTGGTTCCTCTTTGATGCTGACATCTGTTTGATATTGCCTGACGGGGGGATTAAATGAGCCAAACGGCCTCTCAGGGTGGCGGAGGGATGGGAAAGCAGACACTAGAAGAGGTGACTCATGGGTAATTTCAGGAGATGATGTGAAAACATGGCCGCTGAGAAAGAGGCTCACATGAGAGATTTCTCAGCCTGAACTCAGTCTGAGACAGCGAGAAACTCAGGCTGAGTTCAGGTGAGTTTCGCGGTGTCTCGCAGACCCCACGCAGCAACCAGGAAACGACACCAGTAAGCCAGCTCACACTGTCCGCTCCTCGAGCCTCAAAGGGCGGAGCAGCGAGCCCTGCAACGTCCCGCCAACACGGCACCCAGACCCCACGCAGCATTCTCATCTGTTTGTCATTACTGGTGTCATTTTCTGGTTGGCTGCCATTGTAACACATAATCACTGATGTTCCGCTGTAACGTTGGTGGACTCATCAGAACAGAGTGGGCGAGCTGACCAATCAGAGCACAGTGGGCTCATAGGGAGGTCAGGAGCTCCAACAAGCCGTGTAGGACAGAGAGTGAATACACATACTATACAGCAGGGGTCTCCAACACGTCGGGCAGCTTTTCAGTAGCTCGCCGCTCGATTATCGATTATAGCGTAGTAAGGTTGCTTCTTGATTTTTCGGCTGCGGCTGGACAATAACGTTTTTTTATTTTATAATTTTTTCTGTCGCACGAATATCAAATGGTCGGTGACGCAGAGATCAAGGAACAGACGTGACAGTGGCACAGCGACACCACACAGGGAGCAGTCTGCTTTCTCCACCAGCACCAGTCCAGAACTAACAGCAGAATGACCTGCTCTGAATCAGGCCCTGTCGCTGCGGCTCAGAGACACACAGGGAGGGATTTGTGTTTTTGAAAAACACTCGTTATCGTCATGTCAGGTTTTTGGTGGATTTAATCAAGTCTTGGATTGCAGAGTATGAATGTCCTCTTGCTATTTTCAGTTGATAAATACGTGTGTAAAGTTTGTGAAGGCAGGAGGAAAGCTTCCGCGATCACCGTCTCCTCTGTTCCTCCAAGCCCCGCCCCCTCCTGAAAAATAACTACTAATAAGAGTGACAGGCTGATAGTAACCTGATAGAAACGTTATTATTCACTTAATCACTGATTGAGATATGATGAAGCTAACTTAATCTCATACATTCATGGGTTTATGTAACAGTAAGACAGAGAATAAGTGTGCACCCACATGCACTATTTTTGTTTTTATAATGCTGTTGTACTCCTGTTGTCTGCTGTGTTCAGACTCAAGTCCTGTGTGTGATGCCACATTCAGGACATTCAGTGTCTTTTTTTTTAACAGAAGACCGTTGCTAGAAGCTGCAGCTAGTTTTTG